AAGGTGTTTTCTTAAACTGCTTTCACTGGCTTCACTGTGACTGATTGCAGTACTTGTGTGTTCCTGCAGAGAGTGCACTCGAGGAGGCTTCTGCAACTTCATGCACCTGAAGCCAATCTCAAGGGAACTCCGAAGAGAACTGTATGGCCGCAGGAGGAAGAGGTCTGTCTGATTTAAAACTCCTCAAAAGAATAAAGATTGTTACAGAACACTTGAGCAGATCTTGCAATTCTTACATCGCTGTCACTAGGCCTCTATAAGAGCTTGATTATTATTATTATCTGTTATAAAGATAAGAGATCCTTATTATAACAGCATACTAAATTTGTGCAAATGGTTAGCCTTACACACATTTTTGCAGTTTCTTTTGTGAAACAAGTGACAGCATCATTTATATACACTACCCATCAAAGGTTTGGGGTTGGTAAGATTTATTGTAAATGTTTTATGCTAAAATATCTTCTGCTCACCAAGCCTGCATTTAAAAATAAAAAGTACAATTAAATTAAATAAGTGAATGTGAAATATTATAATCTGTTTTCTATTTGAGTATATTTTAAAATGTAGTTTATTCCTGTGATGCAAAGCTGAATTTTCAGCATCATTACTCCAGTCTTCAGTGTCACGGGATCCTTCAGAAATCATGCTAATATGCTGATGCTCAAGAAACATTTCTTATTATCTCTTAATATTTTGTGGAAACTGTGACGCTTGTTTGTTCAAGATTCTTTGATGAATAGAAAGTGCAGATTAACTGAATTTATTTGAAACATAAATGTCCTTGTTGTCGCTTTTGATCAATTTACTTGATGAATAATTTTTTTCCTTAAAAAAAAAACGAAGCTTACTCACTCCAAACTTTTCAAAGGTACTGTATAATGGACTGGTTTTGGACTCGTTAGTAAATTTATTCTCTCTCCTACGCAGGCATCGCTCCCGTTCACGTTCCCGTGAACGCCGCTCTCGCTCTAGAGAACGCAATAGAGGAGGTGGAAGAGAACGAGAGAGACGGAGGTCAAGAGATAGAGAACGCTCTGGACGCTTTTAAATTAAATGTCCTTCTTTCTTGAAACCAACATTCAAACCCCAAGTCCTGCCCTTGTCTCTCCTGATGAAATGTGATAAATGTTCAATTTATTTCCTCCCTGACTTCTTTGTCCTGACCTTTTTATGCGAGATTTGTTTGCTTTTCAATAAAGATACCTTAATCCATTTACTGCCTTTCAGTAGTTACATTATTCTCATATTCTATTACATGCTGTTCTTTTACATTGTTTCCACATGCATCTTCTAACAATGAAAGTTTCTGGATTTTCTGACCTAGCGATTTAATGTTTTTCATTTTGCAGAAAGGATCATACTGTTCTCACATTCGCTGTAATCCCTATAGGTGACTAAACATTTTGCCAAAGCTATTTTAATGGCAGGGAAGGGCAATATCCACCTAACATATCAGGTCACACAACAAATGGCCTGGTTAATTAAGGACCGTTTTTTGTTGATTATACCCAATAACTAACATGTCAGTGATTTGGTAACTTAGTCCTTAAGGACTACAGTTAAGTACTAGGCTTTTTAAATGTAATCTTTCTCAGGAGGTGTAATGAAACACCTATTTTATGACAGCACTGTGGAATACTTGACTCGGATTAGCCAGTCACGAGATCGAGCAGTAAACAGCTTTGAGGCATGACACTAAACTGTGTTTGATGGTTTCCATTCAACGCATCAGTTCCACCCGTTTTCAGAACTTATCATGTAAACAATCTCACGACTCGAAACGATTATTTCTAACTTGGTCAACGAACATTAGCATATTATGTCAAATGTAACTGATAGAAATAAGTACAGCTAAAAAGTAATCCAAGATGTGCATTAAAATGTCTCTGAAATACGCTTGTCTTTTACTCATTGCCTTGTAGTAACGACAAACTATTGCTATGTATATATTACCGGCATTGTTGAAATGATCTTACCTGTAAATCTAATTTAATTGCTGTCTTATGAACAAGTTAACGCCGCCTTCTACAATTAGTTTCTCATCCAGCTCTGTCTCCGACCAGTTTGTTCTTGCGAGCGTTGTTTTCGATTTCTTGTACAGAGGACTCCTGAGCTTCTAGTAAATCATCAAAGGTTTTATGCTCCCCATAAAATTAATACTGTGTTCCGAAGCTATATTTATCACAATCATAAGCGGTGTAGTGGCCCTGGCCCTGAGTGATCACTCCCTAGCGCTCCTAGCAGAGCAGAACAGCGCTTTCTCTGGACGAGGGCACGACTAAAAGTCGACATTCTATTGGTTAAGAGAACAGAACAGACGCCCCCGCCGTAGCCAATCAGCCCTCGAGCCCAACAAGGTATGCTGACACCTGATTGGACGCCAGCGTGACTCTTTAACGCATGCGAGCAGCTGGAAAGCCGACTTCTTTTCACATACGGATAGGTCGTCTGAGTAATCGGACCTCACCAGCTCCTTAGTTCCTCTGTATCTGATAGCCAGGTGAGTAAAAGCTGTCCTTCGTATTTTAATCGCGAAACCCTTAAGAAAACCCTTTTATTAATAACAACAAAGACACGCTAAGAGCATCCATCTGCCACACTAATACACCCCGATGTTCGTAGATGAGGAACACATCTTAACCGCTTGTGTTTCGCCGGAGAGTTTTATACAGACATACGTTTTATTCTGTGTTTTACGTCTGTCCTCCTAAGTGATGGGACCGCGGCGCGAGCATGATGCAATCCGCCCCTGCGCCACAGCATCGCGATCAGCGCGAGCACAATGAAGGCGACAGCCGCGCGACTGCGTCGTCTTACCGTGCTGCTGTGCTTTCGCTAACACGCCGCTCTTACGCGTTATTACATACACCTGCTGTGGGGGTTCAGTTATTAACTATTAGCATTTCTCTTCTACTTAAGCCGGGTGACTGGCTTTTAAAGCCCATAAAACTGGCCTTGCTTTTTCTGAAATGTCTGGCATTGTAAAGGTATAGAGTATATAAATGTAGGAAGAATAAAAGGGTATGACTAACGTCGCAGAGATTTCTCGAGGCAGCCTATAACCCGCAGCTTTTTATTTACAATCTTTAGTCATGCATTTCCCTCAGTTTGAGAATATTTTGTGAAGCTTTCCGCTTCTGAGATGTTGTTGTGTACAGTATCATGAGTCATGACTAAACCGGGTTTGAAAGAGTGAATCCCTCTGTACAGACTAACAATCTTTGCATCATCTCAGTTGTCTGGAAAGTCACTCCTCCTCTCTGAAGGTTGTGAGTGGAAAGCAGAAGTTTCTTATTTCACTTTGTCTGGTATTGCTAAAGTTTTTAATTTGTTTCTCGATGTGTGGATGTCTCTGCTGTGATTGTGTTACTAATGATGCTGTCAGCAGAGAGCAGAAGGGATGTTTTGCTAATCTAGGAACCTTTGTTTCTTCATGTTTAACGTGGAGTTAGTGGTAAAAGCTACAATCAAAACATCCCAGATGTCAGTGAAATGAAGCAAATTTGCTTCATTGTTGGTGTTGTGTTTCAGTTTACTGTTCATTGCGTTATTAGTCACTTCCTGGCAAATGTACAAGCGCATGAGGTATGAACATGAACAAGAACAACCGTTCTGTTCTGAGCAAGACCTACCATCTCCTAAAACATCTTCTGCTGGAACTGAAAGAGAAGTCATTGGCAGACACTGTTCCAGTTCACCTGGATCCCAATGGATCTCCTCCACCCAGGTGTAACGAATCAGCTCGTGGGAAATATGAATAATTAATCATAACTAGTTATAATTAATTATGAATATTTTAGATTCGCTGTAGATATTTAGCTGACCTCTCAGGGTCAACTGTCTTGTCAATTCTAAGAACGTTAATTTCCTGGTTAAGGGAAATAACTTCCTTACTGTACAATTCTACAAAAGCTTGTAGCATAAATCTGCATGATTAGTGACTCCGGTTATGAGCAAACAATGAACACATCAAGTGTGATACAAGTAAGGTTTTATTAACTACATAAACACTTAAACTAGTCTAACATACTACATAAACACATAAACTGGTCTAGCATACTCACACACATACAGTTGGTATAGGAAAGGGTTAAAGCTTAACTCAGTACAGAAAAGAAAAATAAGGAATGAAGTTATAGAACCATTTGCATATTCAGCAGATCTACACCTGAGGGAAACATCAGATTCTTAGTTCAAACACACCTTTGTAAAAAGGTGCAAATGATACTTCATGTATCGTTATTAAGGCTAAGTTTGATACTTGCATGTCTCGTCTGTCTGAAAGAGAGGTTTGATGTAATCTGAAGTTTCCAGTTGATCTTTGCTGAATTTGGGTCGCTAGTCACTAGTGGAATACATACTAGTCAAAACTGAATAGTTGATATCTCAAAGATGGATCCCCATAGAAGTCAATGGCAAAAAAATTTTTTTTTACTAGTAACAATATAATAGTTACTAGTCTCTATTGAAATAAGTACTAGTCACTATTGAATAAGTACTAGTATCTAATGAATAAATACTAGTATCTAATGAATAAGTACTAGTATCTAATAAATAAGTACTAGTATGTAATCAATAAATACTAGTATCTAATGAATAAGTACTAGTACCTAATCAATAAGTACTAGCATCTAATGAATAAGTACTAGTACCTAATCAATAAGTACTAGCATCTAATGAATAAGTACTAGTACCTAATAAATAAGCACTAGTATCTAATGAATAAGTACTAGTAACTTTACAAAAGACACTAGTACCTAAAGAATAAACACTAGTACCTAAAGATTAAGCACTAGTAGATAAAGCATAAGCACTAGTACCTAATGAATAAGTACTAGTACTTAATGGAAAAGATACTAGTATCTAAAAAATAGGTACTAGTACCATGAAAATAGATACTAGTACGGCTTATAGATTAAATGTTACAACGGCTTTCCATAATGCCACAGTCTGCAGAGTGACTGTGATTCAGTTCATTCAGGTCCGTTGTGGTTTGTTGATGTTAGTTTAATGTGTGTTTGTGGTTGTGTGTGCGCGTGTGTGTGTAACCACTTAATGTGCTCCCTTTTCTCACAGAACAAAGACACCCAGTATCATTCCCAACATTTTAAGCAGGATTGGAGAGACCCCACTGGTCCGCATGAACAAGATTCCTAAAGCTTTTGGCCTCAAGTGTGAGCTTTGTGAGTATCTGTACCATATAGGTGTGGGGGATGTGTCTTCACACCTGGTTTCATGCAGTACTGTGGGTTTTTTTTTTCTGTCGTGTCCTGTGAGGACATGAAAATCACATGATCTAAAGCAGATCAAGTTGATATGGCTACTGTACTGAAATACTCTGAATGTTTTTGGAAGCACAGTCTGAGGTAAACTTACCCGAGAACTCGCTTAACCTGACTTCTGGAATACCTCCAAGATCTCTTTAGAACAGCATTCTAACAGCTCCTAATTATCCTTATTAACCTTATTCAAATTAAACAGATCTGCTGGAAAGTACAGTTCCCTTATTATATCAGATAAAATCAGAGGCCATTAAAATAACCCTGTAGGGAGGAATGCATTGGGTGTTGCAGTAGATGCGTACTTCACATGGTTGCATTGTGCGTTTTAGTTTTGGTTGGGGGTGGGGGTTGTATTGTGTCTGGGTGTACTCAAAGACCAAATCTGAAACTTCAACAAAACCACGCTCACAAAATGGCTGCAGTCTTTCATTTTGTCAAAGGTGAACGAGTTTAGCCACATGGGCCAAAAGTGTAGCAGGACTGTAGTTAAGCCCCTCTTTCTTTTAACAAGCATTGTTTGAAAGTGTTATTGTGTGGAAGTCAAAGCCTTTTGAGTCGAAATGCTTTAATGAGCTTTATAATGGGGGTTCAATACGTCTAGCGATTTTCATGTGAACAAGATTACCCTTCGACCAGTTCAGCCGATCAGCTTTGGCATTACAGACGTGGAATTAGCGGACTAATTGCATCTGATTAGGTGTACATTTCACATATTTGCATGTGTGGCTGTGCCATTATGATGAAGTTGGGTGGTCTAGTTGTACAGTAAATAGCTTCCATGGATAGTTCACCCTAATGTCATTCCAAACCCGTAAGACCTTCGTTCATCTTTAGAACAGAAATTAAGCTATTTTTTGATTAAATCCGAGAGCTTTCTGACCCTGCATAGACTGCAATGGAGCTACCACGTTCAAGGCCAGGAAATGTTGTAAGGACATCAACAAAATAGTCCATGTGACATCAGCAGTGTTGGGGAGTAACTAGTTACTTGTAACAGTGTTAATGCAATTTGATTACAAAATAAGGTTACACTTTATTTTAAGGTGTCCTTGTTGGTGTAATTATACATTTATATACCGAGTGCTATTAATTAACTACATGTACTTACTATATGGTTTGGCTTAGGGTTACTTGCATGTAATTATGCATAATTTATTGTTATTTTAACAGTAAGTACATGTAACATGGACACCTTAAATTAAAGTGTTACCTAAAATAAATGTAACCGTAATCTGTTACTGAGAAAAAAAATGTGTAATTAAATTAGTTACTTATGAAAGTGTTAACGATTACAAAGGGGGTTACATCTGAATACTTTTATTCATTTGCTATTTCTTATGATTTTAAATCTGTATTTAACCTTTGTGTGGCTATGGCTTAAAATTACATTATTATAATCTTGATTCAAGAATGAAGAATTCTGAGAATCAGTGTTGAGTACTACTGTAAGGTTAACTGTACCTGGTTTAAATGTTTGAAAATGATTAACAGTTGAAAACATTTTGTTAGAAATTTAGAATAGTAATCAAATATAATCTGTTACATTACTTTAATTGAAATAGTTACACTACTTTTTACATTTTAAATAGGGTAACTTGTAATCTGTAAACTATTACATTTTCAAAGTAACCTTCCCAACACTGGACATCAGTGGTTTATCCGTAATGTCAGGAAGCTATGAGAATACTTTTTGTGCACGAAGAAAACAAAAATAATGACTTTATTCAACTTTTTTTTTCTTCTTTTTTCTCTTCTTTGACCAGTGTATTTATTATCTAAACAAGCAAGTTGATGATTTGTAATTGACAACATGCGCAAATAAAAAAGGTGGTTTTCTAAGGTTTATTTCTTTTATTTCTTTATTTATTTTTTGTCTTTCTATCTGTCTAGTGGCTAAATGTGAGTTCTTCAACGCCGGTGGCAGCGTGAAGGACAGAATCAGTCTGCGAATGGTAGAGGACGCGGAGAGAGACGACATCCTGAAACCTGGAGACACCATCATTGAGCCCACGTCAGGAAACACAGGTGTGTGTGTCTGCACCATTAGCCATTATAATGTTTATTCTCATTTTAGTATTTATTTTGAACGCAAGCACTGAATGTTTTTAACTGTGCCGTGTTGAGGAAGAACCTTTGCTCCATTTAGTTTAATTCAGGCACTGGAATGCTGGAGGACCAGTTATGTGCCAACTAGTCTGGCACCAAAATCAAAGAATGACTGTGTAAATACGGTCAGCTAAGTGTTATTCAACATCTAACACTTACTAATCAGTGAAGTGTAGATTATTGCTATTAGAATGTGGTACAGACCGTGTGACTGTCATGTGTGTTTTCAGGGATCGGTCTTGCTTTGGCAGCAGCAGTCAAAGGTTATCGCTGCATCATTGTCATGCCTGAGAAGATGAGCATGGAAAAGGTGAGATAATAAAGATAAATATGGTGTGGAAGTAAATCAACCTGATATTTGTGGTGCGTATGAATGTGCATTTTCATACTCCTATGTTTTGTGTCCTCGCATGCTCCCAGGTGGACGTGCTCCGCGCTCTTGGTGCCGAGATTGTTCGTACCCCTACCTCAGCCCGGTTTGACTCTCCGGAGTCTCACGTGGGGGTGGCTTGGCGTTTGAAGAACGAGATTCCTAACGCTCATATTCTGGACCAGTACCGCAATCCCAGCAACCCCCTTGCCCACTATGACACCACTGCAGAGGAGATTCTGGAGCAGTGTGACGGTAAATTAAAACCTTTGTGGTTTTGTCAAAATTAATCATTCACCTCTCTCTTTTCAGTTACTTGGATGCTTTTTATGAAAAAGCTCATCAGTTGCTTCTGATGAGGGAGAGGAGGGAGGGGGGGGGCAGTGAAAGTGGCAGACAAAGTGGTTTTTTTTAATAAAGCTGACAGGTTGAATAGGCATTTGAATATTGACCAAAAGGTCAAGAATAACTGCTTCTAAATATTGTTGGTACCATTTTTTTTTTTTGTTCCTATCCTCTGTAGGTAAAATAGACATGCTGGTAGCCGGAGCTGGCACTGGTGGCACCATCACTGGCATCGCTCGCAAGCTGAAGGAGAAATGCCCTAATATCAAGGTGAGGCTCAGATCAGTACATAAATTCTGATACACCAGTCAATGAACTTGTTTTCCATCTATCTGTCTGTTTGCTTATTATTTAAAGGGGTCCTATTATGCTTTTTCACTTTTAATTTTAGTCAGTGTGTAGTGTGTATGTTTGGGCATAAAAAATCTTCAAACTTACAAATCTCAAAGTCCACTTCAAAGGGAGATATTTCGCTTTTAAAAAATCCCTTTTCAAGAACTACAACGAATGGCTCGTTTGGACTACAGCGTTTGCTTTCCGGGTTTTGTGATATCACAAAGCGGTCCATTAGAATATCATTAAATAATAGAATTTACACTTCAGTTATGAGACTAGTGTTTCCCATACATTGTGTTTTTATATCACTGTATTTCTGAAGGAAACCGACTGTCTTCAGAAAATTGGATGTCATTTTCATTTAATCTTGTATGTAATGTCTGATAAAGCAGTGTTTTTTTTGAGCGGAGTGCCTGTACCGCTTTTACCCCCAACAGCGCCTCCTGCTGGCAGAGAATGAGTTTGCATATGCATATATATATATATATATAAATATATATATATATATATTATTATAAATAATATATTATGCCCCGCCTGGGAAACACTGGACTACAGTATAAATAAATTCAACTGTATAACAGTTTGACTGCAATTCATGTTAGAATTAAAGAACAATACAAATAATACATATGCAGTTATCTGTACATAGTAAATGCAGTTATTTTTAAGTGGTTGTTGACATTTTTATATCACTGTATTTCTGAAGGAAACCGACTGTCTTCAGAAAATTGGATGTCATTTTCATTTAATCTTGTATGTAATGTCTGATAAAGCAGTGTTTTTTTTGAGCGGAGTGCCTGTACAGCTTTTACCCCCAACAGCGCCTCCTGCTGGCAGAGAATGAGTTTGCATATGCATATATATATATATATATATATATATATATATATATATATGCGCCCCGCCTGGGAAACACTGGACTACAGTATAAATAAATTCAACTGTATAACAGTTTCACTGCAATTCATGTTAGAATTAAAGAACAATACAAATAATACATATGCAGTTATCTGTACATAGTAAATGCAGTTATTTTTAAGTGGTTGTTGACAACCTATCTAAAACGTGATTTAGAAAAAAACAACTAATGTTACCACTCTAATATGTCTTGCAATATCTGTGCGTGCAAATTTTGGCAATATTGATGCCATCCTTAACTATACCGGAGCAGACGGAACTTGCTGCTTTGGCAAGGGGCGGGGCAGTACTGAAACACCGTCTAAGCTGTTCGCCAGTCACAACGTACTGGGACAGCTAACCAATCACATCACATCACATTTAGTTTTTCGGAAGGTGGGCCTTCATCAAACCCCGAAGTTCCGTTTGTGCCAGGATGGGGAGAAAGGTTTTGTAATGTAAATTATGTAAAAAAAAATATATATATGTTTTTCGAACCACCAAGCATGTTCTAGTACACCCCCAAAACAAATTAAAGACATTGTAAAAAAGCATAATGGGACCCCTTTAAGTAGTTTGGCATAATCTTTTATTACTATTTCTTATGAGTAACTACTTCAAGTCTTGAAAGTGTTGTTGTTTTTGTAATGTAAATTATGTAAAAAAAAATATATATATGTTTTTCGAACCACCAAGCATGTTCTAGTACACCCCCAAAACAAATTAAAGACATTGTAAAAAAGCATAATGGGACCCCTTTAAGTAGTTTGGCATAATCTTTTATTACTATTTCTTATGAGTAACTACTTCAAGTCTTGAAAGTGTTGTTGTTGTTGAAAGTTTTGTTGTAGGTCATTTTGAATTCTGAATAATTACTATGTTGGAGACGTTGAATTAATTTAAAAACATTTTTACACCATGTTACAATTTTTTTTTTCTTTCTTTTTTACGTCATTGTTCTCCCATCAGATAGTTGGAGTGGATCCTGAGGGCTCTATCCTTGCTGAGCCAGAGGAGCTGAATAAGACTGATAAGACTCAATATGAAGTTGAGGGCATCGGCTATGACTTCATCCCCACTGTTCTGGACAGATCTGTAAGTTTGCATTTGCGCAGAAGGCTTTTATGCAGTTAAAATGAGTGTTTTATGTTGACTAATGGCAGTTGACCCTATCGCCATGACCGGTCTTAAATTTTACGTTCTGTAATTGACATGTCTTTGTAATGGTTGTGGACTGGTCCTATTAACATATAAAAAAATAGGCCAGTATGCATAGTTTTAAAGCAGAATCATTCAGAAATATGCCATTTATAGTGACACAAGCTGCCTAGAGAGGATGCTTGTCTTGTCTTTTCCAGATGTTCATAGATCACCATTAAGTTTCACCCTTGATAAAAATAAAAAGAGCCACATTGAGAAAGAAAATGTTTTAGATGCATTGAGGACAGTGATGTTTTAGTATCATTGGTATACTATTATAATTTTAGTACTTTAAAAACTGTTGTTTGAGCTGTTGTTGGGGGATGGTTATAAATGTTTATTTAGTTTTCTGTTTATTTGCATCATGTTATCAGCTGTAATTGCTAAACTGACTTTCATGAGTGTTTGCCAGTTTTTGTTTGCTGTCTGCACTATATTTAATTATGATACTGTGTAACCGATTTCTTTTAAGAAAAATGGCAAATAATAGATGGTTTAAGGTGTCACACACTTCATTCCAGCTAACGTAAGGCAATATCATATCAGTTACATTTTTACCACATTTACTGTGTCTCAGGTGGTGGATAGTTGGTACAAGTCCAATGATGAAGAGTCCTTTGCCATGTCTCGTATGCTCATCAGAGAGGAGGGTCTTCTGTGCGGTATGTGACTCGCAGCACATCTCTCACGTTTCATATGTGTCAAGTGTGCATCTAAACTGTGTGGTCTGTCACTCTTTGTAGGCGGTAGTTCAGGCACAGCCATGGCTGCTGCAGTGCATGTAGCCAAAGAGCTGAAGGAAGGCCAGCGCTGTGTGGTGATTCTCCCTGACTCCATCCGCAACTACATGTAGGTTTCAGTGTTCCCAGCATTGTAGTGTGCTTAGCTGTGCTGTGAATGTGTGTTTTGTGTTGCCTGGTAGATTAAGCAACAACTATACTAATGTGATGTTTTAGACTTTAAACTAGACTGCTGGTATGTTTGGAATTGCATGCTTCCGTACTACCAGTGGAGAGAAGCACTTTTGTATGTGTAGCTTCTCAAAATATTAAATGTAGCTAAACTAAGCTAATAATATAAAGTTGTATAAATGTGAATCTATTCAATACAAAAATGAAAATCATCCGTAACGCTGATGTTTAATAAGATTAAACGTATGGGTTGCGTATGTAAACTCAGGTTTTCGCTGAGGAGCCGAGCCGGAAACCCAGTCACTCAGCGGTGGTACAGCAGCCATGGCGATGGGACGTGACGTCTCTGTTCCCTCCTTCAGGGAACAAGGGTTACATCCGTAACTGAGACATTCCCTTTCAGTCGGTCACTCTTGACCAGTGCTGGACTGGTAATCTGGCATACCGGGCATTTTCCCAGTGGGCCGACGCACTTTTGGGCCGGTACAATTTTTTTAAATTTATTTTTTCCGCCAAGGACCGGCCCATCATGCAGGGACAGCTGCCCATAACAAAGCATTAAATAGACGGAGTGATAAGGGATCTTGCTCTGCCTATGTAAATATCGCTTTACCTCTCTTCCACCTTCCTCTTGGTCTCTCAAAATGGACAGACCAAAGGTGATGCTGAAAAGCTCAGGGAAAAGTAGCTTAAAAATGTGGAGGCGGACACCGCAAAATGTGCCTCGTTGTCGGCATTTGTGAAATGTACACCGCAGCGTTATCAAAAACAGGCTTGCTCTGCTGTGAGTGATGCGGTCCAAAGGGACAGGCAGGAGGAGGAGAGGAGTTTAATCGGTAAGGAGATTGATAACAGGGGCTCGCATGAAGGGGAAACGGAGGAATCTAACCTATCCTATGCGTGTGCGCACCATGAGTGTAGAATATGTAAACTTTTTAATAAAACGAAAATTTGTCCCTTGCTCTTTTTTTTTTTTTTGGCCAAGTCAAGTGTGTTCACAGAGGTTTCCATGGGCCAATGCGAATAAATTTAAATATGACCTGACGTTTTATTCTTATCCAAAACAATGAGCTGGGATATTCACACACCATTTTTTATTTTGTGAGTTTGCAATATATTCAAATACTTAACTTTAAATATTAAAGATACTGTAATCACTGTGTTTTAAAAAAAATCATAATTTATTAACTTATTCTCCACCTTCCTCTCTTATTCTTATAAAGGTTGCATTCTTTGTGGAGGTCTTTGCTGTCCCTTAGTGTGAAGATTACTGGCAACATTTTAAATTATAGTAGCCTATATGTTGTACACGGTTGCATACGTATTTTTATTAATTGGAAATCATACTTTGACCTTTTAGCTTGTTTTCTTTGGGGGATATATACCGATTTTTAAATTTTTTTCCCAGTCCAGCCCTGCTGCGCAAAGCTGACCTCATACATCATGCTTCTGGAACTGCTTAGTTTACAACAGTGAGCGCAAGCTAGATTAAAGTGATTATTACGTTTTGAATACAGATATTTTTCTTACAAAAATGCATCGATTCGCTACAGGAGGCCTTTGTTCACCCCCCGGAGCCATGTGAGACACTTTTTTTTTTTTTTTTT